TGCCTCTTTTTTCCTCTATCACCCAGCTTCAGGGCAGTACCACTGGTCTCAAATTACATAAACATGTTTTGGAGAGCGCAGGCACCTACATATTTAACTTGACAGGAGGTGAGGAGTAAGAAGTATGCTCCCAAGCACACATATTCTGTTCTGAAATGAACTGTTCTTCCCCTCCTCTCATCCCATTTGAAAGGCTCCTTGTCTGTAGAGATCTTTCTGACATGCTCTAGTTAGGGTGTGTGTGTTTGTGTTTAAGATGTTATTTTTAAGTAATCTCCACATCCAGGGTGGGGTTTGAACTCACAACCCCAAGATCAAGGATTGCATGCTCTACTAACTGAGTCAGCCAGGTGCTCCAAGTGAGCAATTTTTTCATGGATCCATTACTAGTAACCCTTCCTTTTAGATCAGAGATGCTCAACTTTGTCTACACATTGGAATCACTAGCTTAAAATATTGATGCCTGGGATCTATCTACAGAGATCCTGATTTAATTAGTCTGAGGCCAATTGTGGGTATCAGGCTTAACGGAGCTCCCCAGTAATTCTAATATGCCTCAAAGGTTGAGAAACACTGTATAGATTCTTCTTCTTCTTCTTCTTCTTCCTCCTCCTCCTCTTCTTCCTCCTCCGCTTCCTCCTATTCTTCTTCTTCTTCCTCCTCCTCCTCCTCCTCCTTCTTCGTCTTCTTTTGAGAGAAAGAACTCTTGCACAGGGCAGAGGGAGAGAATCCTAAGCAGGTTCCATGCTCAGCATAGAGCCTTATGTGGGACTTGATCCCTAGACCCTATGATCATGACCTGAGCCAAAAGCAAGAGTTGGATACTTACCTGACTGAGCCACCCAGGTGCCCCTAGATTTTTATTTCTGCAGAAATTTGTTGTGTTTGAGGTAACTGGTCCTATGATTGACATGTAGTAGGCTCTCAGTGTTTGAAGAAGAAATAAATAGTGCATTAGAGAGTGGGAAGAGTTCACTTTGCCTCTGCATTCTTCTCGCCCAGCCTCCAAATGCAGAGAAAACATTCCCCATTAGCATTGTCTTCTGAGATAATTCATTCCTAACAGTGTCTTAAGTGAAAAGCTATGGTACGATCCCATGGATTTCAACCCCAAGCACAATATGGAGAGATTTCTTACCCATAGACTCGTACCTTTGAACCACAAAGTGGTGTTTTGTTTTCAAGGTTGATGGCTCTTGCAGAGGTGGAGTACATAGGCCAACAATGCTGCTTGATTGATTCAGGCCAAGTTGGCTTCTCAAGCTTCCTTGTAATGAGCAACTTCATGTCTCACTGGGTCACTGTTTGAGAATCTGGAGTTATAAATGCTGGCTGTGAGTAGTTTTATTCTGGCCCATACAGACCTAGGCTGTGATTGCTAATGTGCCCAGATGCAAAATCTATCACTTTTGTAAGAAGCTAATGTGGTTACCTAGGTGAATGAGGACATAATCCCAGATTACATAATTCCTGGGGTTTTGAACTGAAGTTATTACCCACTGGACCTCTAGCCCTAAAGTTAATCTTGGGCCTTAGTAAGTGATGATACTCTTAACTAGACAACTTGGCATCTTTATGGTAATTCCAGGGAATCCTGTGTTCTCTTGGTGGGCTTTGACTAAGATATCAGAGTTGCTTTCCATCTAGATATCAAAGGGATTTATAAATTCTGGAATGTATGATTAATTATTGTGCTTCCCTATGTATCGGAATGCGTAGTTGGTCCTGGATTGGAAATTAAAAATGAAAGGAATGGGGGATCCCAGGGTGGCTCAGCAGTTTAGTGCCTGCCTTTGGCCCAGGGCGTGATCCTGGAGTCCCGAGATCGAATCCCACGTCGGCTCCCGGCATGGAGCCTGCTGCTCCCTCCTCCTGTGTCTCTGCCTCTCTCTCTCTCTCTCTCTCTCATAAATAAATAAATAAATAAATCTTAAAAAAAAAGGGAGTAGGATGATTTGCTACTATAAGTTAGTGACAGAAAAATGGATGCCTCTGAGAGTAATGCTGAAGGAAAAGAGAAAATGAGGAGTCTTTATACAAATGAGGAAAGGAGAAAAATCAAAGAAAGAAATGAGTTTGGAAACATCCGGCCTTGTGTCCTGGTGTTCTCTTCCTATCCCTGTTTCAAGACTAGAGGGTCCTGTTGGGTAAGGAGAGATGACAGTTCAAGTAACCAAGTTAAAGTCCTTCTAATTGCCTGTGAGGCCTTGTAGAATTCCTCCTACTTCCTACTCAGCTCTTTCTTTTGCTCATTTTGCTCTTGCCATGCTGGCCTTTGCCCTCCGTTGAGCAAGCCCACCACTCTTGACTTTGCATTGGCTGTTCTGCTTATCTGGGATGTTCTTCTACCATATATCTGATGGTCAACTCCCTTTGCTCCTTCAAGTCTTTGCTATATTGCCACTTTCTCAAAAAGGCCTACTTAAAATTGCAGATTCTACCCTCTTTCCCCTCAGATTTCCCCAGATTCTACTTTCCCCTCAGCCCCCACTTTACACATCTCTTCATCTTTCTTTCCCTGGCACTGTCACTTTCTAATATGCTATATAATTTGTTAAATTTGTGTTGCCTATTTTCCCCAATCCATCACCACCCCAAGGGCAGGGTCTTTATTTGTTCCTTTCTATACCTAGCAAAAGTACCTGGCACAGAGTAGGCCCTCAATACATACTATTGAATGAAATGATTCAATATTCATTGTAGTTCTTTGGCTTGGAAATTAGTTCTACAGACTCAAAGGTTTTGGGCCATTGCTGTTTCTCCTTCTAGGTTTGTCCGACTGTATTTAATTGATTTGTTGGGACTGTTGTCATCATTTTTCTTTCTTTTACCAAAGGCTTTTGTGGAAGGGGGTAGCTGAATCAGCCCAACTACTCAGAAAATCCAGAGGCTGTGGGAGTCCCTAGAAAAAGATAGACCATTGCTAGGAGAAGAGTGGTCCATAGTAGGGGTGGTTTCCTCCATCCCTACAAAGGTTATAGGGATGCTTTCTTGGATGCAAGTTCTCATGAGAGTCCTTCTCAAAAACATGGCCCTTGAGAGCTTTCTGATTTCTAAAGAAGTGAATGGCTCATCCTTTGAAGTAGGGAATTTCAAGGTCCAACTCAGCTTAGTTAACTGAGGAGTGGTGTTAACAGTCAGGTCCTGCCTGATGCCTGGCCAAACCGAAGAGGGTCACTTGAACTACTCATTGGGGCTTGTGCTACTAAGTTGCTGTTTTTGTTCTTGCCTTCTCCATCCTCACTATGATAAAATGTGAGAAGCAGTCAGGTTGGGCTTGCCAGCATTTGCAGGGCCTACTGAAAAGGACTTATCTTCAAAAGCATAGGGACTCATCTTCAGAAACATATTTTCCTTCTTTCACCTGCCATCTTGCCTTTGCCAATTATTTATTCTTTCTTTTCTCACTCTTCTAATGTATACACTTTTCAGAAACTGTCCCTATCTTGGAGAATTTTCTGCATGAGGTTAAAGTAGCAGCTATCCTGTCATTTTCTATACATCAGACTTTTACTAACTTCAGCCATCTGCAATGGAGTTTGGAGACTGGGAAGGGTAAGAAGCAGGGAGAGAACACCTGTGATCAAAGATCTAACTCAAAACCAAAGCACAAAAATCTGTGCCATTTGTTTTGTTAGACCAGTGCTATTCAGGAGAAGTAGCATGTGAACCGCATATGTAATTTTAAATGTTCAGTAGCCCCATTAAAAAAGTAAAAATGAACAGGTCAAATGAATTTTAATATCTTTTATTTAACTCTATGCATCTAAAATATTAATGTTTTAGCATGTAACCAATGTGAAATTAATGTTTCAACATGTAACCAATTTGTTTTTACATTACCCTTCTACATCTGATATTTTATATCTGCAGTATATTTCAGTTTGGACTGGCTATATATCATGTGCTTAACAGCCAATTGCAGCTCCTGGTTACTATATTGGACAGTGTACACAGAAAGCTCTTACCCACAGTCAGTTATGTTACATGTTATTTTTTATTTTTTATTTTTTTTTATGATAGTCACACAGAGAGAGAGAGAGAGAGAGGCAGAGACACAAGCAGGCTCCATGCACCGGGAGCCCGATGTGGGATTCGATCCCGGGTCTCCAGGATCGCACCCTGGGCCAAAGGAAGGCGCCAAACCGCTGCGCCACCCGGGGATCCCACATGTTATTTTTATGATTGAAAATAGTTGATATCAAAAAAAAAAAGAAAATAGTTGATATCTTTCTGCCCTTGCCCTCCACTTTATAACCCAAGTCACCACAAAAAGGCTAAAACATAAACCATATTCAGTGTTCTCAGAAAAGGTAGGGAAATGTGAAGAGTAGGGAAGATTTCTAGTAAGCGTTGCTAAAATAATACATACTGGTGTTCTAGTACAAGGAACCTGAGAAGTATCCTAGATGGAAACCCCAGACTGCACTGTGAGGCCCTCTCCATTTCTAAAACTGGGAGCCTACTAAGGACCCGGAGGAGCCAGCAAATATGGCTTTAGCTGGGTGTGTCCCCCCTCGTGTCCCTGAGATTGCTAACTTCCTCAGTTTGGCGAGTTTCCCTTCTGGTCCATGGGGCAGAGTTGCAGCTGGGGCCTTCAAGTTCTAAAGGCTCAGTAATGGCCGAGGCCCCAGCTGTGTTCCAGGGACATCAGGATAGTCTGGCTTGTCACCTTGGCAAGCTTTATGGATGGACTCTCTTGGAACTCACCCCTCCAAGGACATTTGCTTGGGGGCAATGGTAGTAAAGGGCACGGGGTGGCGGTGTAAGCTGCAGTTCTTGGATTCCAGCCAGCAGAAAGGAAACCAACAAAAAGACATCAAAAACTAAAATGTCTAGATCAAACAGCCTCTTTGCCTTTTTCTCTGTTTTTGTTCAAGAAACAAAATTAGTCAGGAATGGGGAGGGGAGCTGTCTTATAACTAGTGTGTATTGATCTTGTGTAAAGCATTGAGTCCATTGCTGGCTGTTACCTAATTTTCTCTCTATTCCTTTTTCAGGCCGAGGAGTCTTGTAAATGTAATGGCTGGAAAAATCCCAACCCTTCTCCCACTCCCCCCAGAGCTGATCTGCAGCAAATAATCGTCAGTCTAACAGAATCCTGCCGGAGTTGTAGCCATGCCCTAGGTGAGTTCCTAAATCTTCAAGGGAACTTTAATGTTGCCTGAAAGTTCTAACTTGCTGAATTCTGTGTGTTAGCCAAACTTGCATGCTATTTACCTCTAAGTGAGGCAGTAACAAAAGAGTCTATTTAGTCTCATGAATTTACTTATGGGAGACAAGCCCTGCACTGTTTGCACTGACTCCTTATCCATCTCTTCCCCTTTTCCCTAAGAGCTGGCTTCGACTGGGGGATTGCCAGATAAGATGAAGCAGGACAACTGAGCTAGAATGAAGTGTAACGTGTCCTGATTCATTCTGATGGGGGCCTGAGGTGAGGGTCTTTGATCTCCAGGGTAGAAAGCTCAACCAACTGGTTCTTTGTCTAATTGTTACTACTATTATTATTATTTTATTTTATTTTCTGATTCCCTGAACTTTCTGGAAGTACTACATTTTATCTTTATATTCTTTAGTTTCCTGCTTCTGGTAGCTCTTTCTTCATTGGGGTTGTGCTTGGTGAATGTTTACTTGTGTTTTCCCTTTCAACCTTCTTATCTCTATCCCTGAAAGATAATCATTGTCAGTTTGGCAAGATAGACTGCCAGAGTTACTCAATGGGACTGTGCTAATATGTTCTTGTCCTGATACAAGTTTTAAGATAAAATTTTTAAAATTGTCTTTGGTTGGAGTAGATAAAAGTTAACGGGTAGCTTTCCCTAGATATTAAAATTCTAGTTCATACAGGATCATCTTGGCATATTATACTTACTTTTCCACCTTTAGTTATCTAGTCTCCTATAGAACATCCCTGTCCTGTTTACTGTCCAGTATTGCTCCATGTAGAACATTCTCAATGAAGTGGCTTTTCCCCCTCATCCTTTCTAAGTCGGTGCCTTCTTTTGACATCATCTCTCAATCTTCCTGGTGATATCAAATGATACAGCATCAGCCTTCAAGGTAGCATGGTGTCAGGCCAAGTCTGAATTAATTTTATTTTGTACTCAGCTGGAGAGTATTTCAATACTTATAGAGCAAAAAAGTAGATAATGTGATCTTCCCTGGAATTCACTGCACTAGACTTTCTGAGAAAGGAAATCGAGAACAGTGATCTCTCAAAAGAAATAAACACACTAATAATTACATCGTTGTATAACTGGTGTCTAAAATAGTGTAAGTTTGATGTTTGAAACACCCGTGCAAAGGAAGGATTCCAACAGTCACAGAATACCTTTGCTTATAACTTACCTTTTTCACCATTGATCCTTGAGCGACTGCCCTTTAGAATTTGCCTCAGGAAATATGATGCAATAAAAAAACTGGCTCAGAAACTTCTTAACCACTGGGGTTGAACTGTATTTGGTATTGATTGGGAAATCCAATTATCTTACATCAATTAACATTTAAAAACAGAAGTCTTCTTTCTTAGTTGAGCAGATTGTCTCCATTCTGAGCATGTAAACACACATGAGTGCCCAAAGGCAGAAATGGCCTTTTGGAAAGAAAAGCCAACTTTGTTCCCTTTTATATTTCTTAACAAGCTTTGAAAACAAATACCCTTATTGGATGATACATAATCAAGAATGGGAAAAAAAAAGTACATATCCTTTGACCTGGCAAGTCCATGCCAGAAATTTAACCTACCTATAAATTAAGATGTGCCCTTAAATTAAACTAAAAAGTTATTATAGCCATATAAATGATATTTAAAAAACTGGAAACAACCTAAGTATCCCAGTGTTAGTAGATAATTGCTTGAATTATGAAAATCTATATTAAAAATTCAATATGGCTATTAAGATGATATATTTTCCAATATGGAAAGACATTCTTAACATTATTAATGAAGAAAAGCAAGTCATAAAGCAATTTAATTGGAGGTTTTGTAATTTAGGACTAAATTAAGGATCCACCAGGCCAAATTCAAATCTTGGCTCTGCAACCAGTCACTGTGAGTTGGGACATGCTATTTCATCTACCTGGAGCTCCACTTTCTTAGCTCTGAATTGAAGTTAATAGTAGTATTTATCTCATAGAATTGTTGTGAGGATTCAATGAGATAAAACACAGTACCTGGCAAATTATTATGCATTACTGATGAAGTTTTGGAATACAAGTGAGGTCCAGAGCTGATGACAAAGAAAGGATTCTTGAGACATCTTTGGTGCAAAATGGTGGTTTTAGTAAAGTACGGGGACAGCACCCAGGGGCAGGAAGAGCTGTTGCTCTGGGCCTGTGAGGAGTGGCTGATTATATATACCCAGGAGTTGGGGGAGGTAAGCAAAAAGGAGATTCCAAAAGGATTTTCATATGCTAAGGAGGGCATACAAGGTACTGGAGGCCTTACTTTCCCTATAACAAGGCATTAACATTAAGACAACTGGAAGCTTCCTGAAGAATGTCACAGGCATCCCACTCTGGGTAGGGGTTGTTTGTGGGTTATCAGCTATGCTTTGTCCTCAGCTAGCCCTGCTCCTGCATCATTACTACTAGCTCTTGTTGTTAGTAGTAGTATTACCAGGCTACTAGAGTTCTTTCACTTCAACCAACAGATATGAATTCTGCTCAAATAAGAAAACTGTTTTAAAAGGATACCGGTAGTACCCAGAAGCTGAAAACAAAGGGAAACCCAGTGTAGTCCCTGGAACCTTAGCTGCAAAAATTTGTAAGCCTTCTGTCCAGGACACTGAACACTGGATGATTCAGCTCCACCTGCCCCTGTCCCTGTGAGTATTGACTTAGAAGGATTTACATCCCTAGAGGATGGAGTCTGATTGGTGTAGCATATGTGATGTGCTGAGCCCTTAGTTGCACCCTTAGAGACCTGCATGGAAGGCGGTCTTTCCCACGCAGGCATGCGGGCTTAAGAACAGCATCATAAGTATAACCTCATTTATCAGTTGAGAAAATATGACATTTTAATAGGTACTAACAGGAATGGATCTGGAAGGATTATGTTGAGTTATTCACAATGCTTTTCTCAGGGTATGGAGGTTTGTAGGTGTTTAAAAATATTTCCCCCCACTTCCTTCCTTTCTCCCCCCTCTTTCCCCTCTATCTCTCTTCAGTCTGCTTTCTTAAAATTGAAATGTCTGTACATTTTCAAGTGCTCTTGGAATTATTGTCGGAATGCCATAGTTTATTTCTTGGTTTTATCATCAGGGCTCTAGAAAACCTTTTTCAGAGGTTATGCTTCCTCTCCCCTCCACCCCTCAACTTTAATTAGACTTTTGTTATGGAAAAGCTCATGCATATATAAAGGTAGAAAGAATAGCTTAATAGGTGCATTGTACTTACCACCCAGCTTGAATAATTATTAAAATTTGCCAATTTCTGGAGTTCCTGGGTGACTCAGGTGGTTAAGCATCCGACTCTTGATTTTGAATCAGATCACGATCTCAGGGTCTTGGGACAGAGCCCTAAGTTAGGCACTGTGTCAGGCTGTGTGCTCAGCAGGGAGTCTGCTTCAGGATTTTCTTTCTTCCTCTACCCCTAGCCCAACATCCCTGCTTGTTCACTTGCACGCACTCTCACAAACAAACAAACAAATCTTTAAATTAAGATTTGTCAATTTCCTTCCCCTCATTTTTTCTTGTCCAGAGTATTTAAATCAAGTTCCACACATATTTCCTATTTGTGCATATTACTTCTTTAAATATTACCAATGAAGTAGAGATATTAGGGCATATGGAATTTGTTAGTCATCACACAGGCCTGAATTCTCAAATGCATTTGAATTTGTGTACACTGTCCTGATTCTACAGTCACTATGCTGAGTATGGTGGATTTAGTTCCTAGAGATCATGCGCATGTGTCAATTTGTAACATTCCTGTACTTATTAATAAATAACCTCCAGGCTTCCCAGTTGAGATGATATCTGTTCTGTTGCTTTGCTGTTGGGTACCCTTTCTTTGGTGCGCCATACATTTTCTCTTGACAGTGAGCTCTGGTTTCATGTGGTCTCCTGACACTTACTTCTCTCCAGGTATCCTTGGCCTGCCATCATTGGATGCTCTTCTGTGTTTCCTGGGTATAAAACATTCAATTGGGAATTAGGGAACGAGAATTCTAGGCCTGGCTCAGCAGTTTACCAATCCCTTAAAATGCTTTGCAGTTCAGTATCTTCATCCATGATATAGCCACTTGCTACATGAGCTAATGAACACTTGAAATATAGCTACTCCAAATTAAGATGAGCTTTAAGTATAAAATACATGCCAGATTCTGAAAGCTTAGTATAAAGAAAAAGTGAGCTATCTCATGAATATTGATATGTTGAAATGATATTTTAGGAATATTGGGTTGATAAAATATATAATTAAAATTAATTTCACCTGTTTCATTTTCAGTGTTGCTAGTTGTAAACTTATACATATGGCTCACATTATATTTCCTTTGGATAGTGCTGTCTGAGAACTTTCTAGTCCATTTTCTGAAATTGTTATTTGGGATTGTTACAATCAAGTTCATTTTACAAAAATTTAAAAGGGGGTACTAACAAAACACTTCAGTAGCCCAAACATTTCTCCTTATTTTAGTATTAATAAAAATTCCTTATCTTGGGACTACTTATTTAAATAGCAATCTGCTTATATGATCAGGAAGGAGGAAATAAAGCATTGTGATCAAATACAATTGAAACTTTTGTTGTCATTTTGGATTCCATTGTTCTGAACTGTGCCAGGACGTACTGATTATTACATTTGACTAGTGATAGTTTTTTGCAGTTGTGTGTGGGAGGTTTTTGGTTATTTTTCAGTGCCTTCGCTTTTTTCTGATAAACATACACACATCCATACATCACACAGACACACTCATCTTTAAACATCACAGTGGTAGAAATTGACAGCTTTTTGTTTTCTACTATGGTTACCTCTGCTTACCTGCTTATTTACAGTAGAAACTTTCTAAAGAAAGTAAAGACTAACATTAACCAGTTACGCTAGAGCTTACTTTCTTGAATAGAAGGAAGTATGAAGTTTTTCTCATGGACTATTTCAAACATTGAAATCATAGGTAAATCATT